TGCAGAGGGTGATGAGGTCTCCCCTGAGCCTCCTCTTCTCCAGGCTGAACACCCCCAGCTCCCTCAGCCTCTCCTCATGGCACTTGTGCTCCAGTCCCTTCCCCAGCCTCGTTGCTCTTCTCTGGACCTGCTCCAGCCCCTCAATGTCCCTCCTGAATATCATCCATTCTCCACAGAGGCAGAAAAGTCTTGGGATAAATCAGGGGCTCTGAGACTTCCACAAACTCCAGTGATCTCACTCATCAATGTAGGAAAATATAGCCTGAAAAGTCCTTAAAATATCTGCACCTCTAGCAGATATAAAATATATTATATATAGATTACATACATACACATATATTACATGATTATAAATGTAATATTATGCATTATACATCTATTACACATGTAATATATAAAATATCTGCTTTGAATAATCTGTCCTGAAACTCTTCTGAGGATTCAGATTTCTGATGGGTTACACAGCCTGGAGAGATCACAAATACTTTGCCATGCTAAAAGGCACATGAATATTCCTCTTTGCTTCCCAATTCCCTGTTCTGGTTTACTAACCATTTACAATGTTTAGTAAGAAATAAAGTACCATCCAGAGGAATCTACAGAGTCTTCTCAGCACCCTGACAAAACTCTAAAAAAGTTGCTATCTGTCATAGAATACAACCCCGAACTTCACCTCTCTTAGCTAACACGAAGCCTCAAGGATTTAAATGACACTTCAAATCCAGTGTTTAATGTAATTTAATGGAAGTCCAGTAGGAAAGCTGGAAATTTCCCTCTAGGCCTGGGGGAAACATCAACCTGCTTATCATCAGAAAGGACAACACACTGTACAGGAACTTGCTGTGAGTGGAATTCCTGTTCATACAAACTCCCAACAGCTCATAATCCAAGGATCTTCCATTGATCATCCACAACCTTGTCCTAAGGCTCCTACAAAAGTGAGCAGGCAGAAGATACAGTGTGTGGGGAGATGGAACAAGTGTCCCTAGAACACTACAGAGAGGAATAACTTAAAGGCCATAGGAAAAGAATTTTTGAAGTCTAAATTACCAGCTACTTACTATTTCAACAGGGACCAAATGGATAAATAAAGTTATTAATCCAGTGGAAAAAAAAAGCATAATTAGGCTTTCAGGCAAAGAAGTCACAGTGAGTATTTGGTTTTAGATCTTTTATGAGCAAAGATGTTTTAATGTGTCACATTTTAAAAGCATCAATCTTTCTTTCCATGAAAAGAAAAAACACTTCATAGATTTGGAGCTAGAGAGGTCCAAGGCTTTCTGCAAATTAAAAAGTGCATGAAATACACACATCATCCTTCATACATAAAACCTTTTGCAACAGGGTTGAGAACACAGTTAAATGTTAAAAGAAGATGAAAAGTACCTGAAGAGAATCTCTCTTTGGAGAGAGATGAACTGAATATCCTCCTGGACAGTTGTGCAAGTTCTCAACAAAAGCTTTTCTGTACAAGTGGTTTAAAAATCACACAGAAAGGTCTGGAATAGTCCAAACAGTGATGTGATACAAGAAACATTTTACAGTTGCCTCAAGTCCATGTGATGTTGTCACAAACAGTTATCATGGCCTAAGCCCAGTGCATTGGTGCCTCATCCATCAGACATCATCTATCTCAAGGGACCAAACTTTAGGTCTTGAGCTAAAATCCAAACAGGTGAATGAATAAATTCAGCAGCTTTTCCAGCACTGAACCTTGACTCAATCAAATTTCAGCTGTTGAGCAGCAGATTTATCCAAGGTCATGTATAAACAGCACAGTCAAAGGGAGAAATAATGGTCTGACTAGTGGTTGAAAAATGTGTTGGGCAGACATTTCCATTACCACAGCTAGAGGAAAAGATTAAAATTAAGTCAAAAAATTAAGTTGGTAATTGTGTTTTACCATTCAATATAGAATAATGCAAAGTAGCTTATTCATGCAGTGATGAGGGAAACTTGAGACAGAATCTAAGTCATCACCTGTCCCCTGAGAGATCAACACTGGGATCTTAAAACTCAGCTCTTCCCAGCCTAAAAAGGAAGTTTCAGTGTAAAAGTGCTGTTTGGTAGTGTTCTCTAAAACCAGAATATTTGCATCTTAATAAAGGTGCATGTGTTGGAGGCTCAGTAGCAATAAAACTGAGCTGAAGAAAAATCACACTGGGTAAACTATCTGGAGCTACAAACTGGTATTAAGCTAAATTAAGATAAAAAAGTGGATTTTTAAAATTTGCTCACTGAGATGCATAAAGAGCCTACTCTGTCACTATTCTGTGACATCAGAAAGCAGCAGAACTATGACTTGACTATTATCACTTATCTGCCCAGCCAGAACTGGTCTGAAAGGGAAACAAAAAACTCAGCACATAATAATCTCATCCTTTTTCCATGAAAAAGTAGGGAGTTACATTTTCCTCTTTCACATCCAATGAGCACTCACTCTGATCCAATTTCCTCCCAACTGAATCCTCAGCCAGGCAGATAACCTGATGGACACCATTAACTTGTTTGCTCCCATCATCACCTGTTAAATCCTAAATGCTGTAGTGTCTTCCATTCCACCCCCAGAGAAATATTCCTCAGAGAGGAGCTGCAATGCAGAAACACACACTATCCATCCAGATGGATCTGGAATTCTAACAGGCTGACACAATCCAGCAGCAAAGTTGTCTGTCTATCCAACAGCAGAGATGCTCTATGCTTACAAGCACAGTAGGTTAGGGAGGGAAATAAAACCCCTCCCAAATCTGAGCTACCAAGGCAAAAAATGACTTTAAAAGTTTTCTACCAGTGAGTATATCTTGCAGTAAATACACTCTTGCTACTAAATTAAGATCCATCACTTTCACATGAAGTTCCTCAAAGAAGTAGATCCTATCACTAGTTTTGTTCCAGCAGTATCTGATGGATAAATGACTGAGCTTTATACATGACATTGGGTATAATTAAGCCACAGTAATCAAATTCCTTCTGAACCTCCAAGAACTGCCATGAAAGCACCAAAGCACATGGGCATTGCAGGCTCAAATCTGTTTGACACAGGTAACACCTGTTCACAAGGACAGAACAGCATGAAGATTCCAGAGATACCCTCCTGTCTCACCCCATTCCATCACACTGGGGTTTCCTGACTTTTGCCAGTAAATTTACTTCCATGTCCATGCACAGAAACTTAATGGATATTGAATCCTATGGAGAGAAAAGACTAAAATTTACACACATTCTAGATTGACATTTTCTCCCTTTATAAATGTGCCTATAAATCTGCTTTGGGTGAAGTCATTTAATAGGAACATCTTCATCTGTTCCTGACATTCCTGACCAAACCTACTCTTCTTTGGTCCCTCACCCTAAGAACAACTTTGCACTCATGAAGAACCACAAATGTGCAAAAGCCTTGTAGAACATTTGCTTCCTTTGTGAAAAGCCTATTTCAAAGTGAGTGTAATCTGTAAGAAGTGCAATTTTCCACTCTGGAATGCCAGTGAGTGGCTTTAACTGGTCAGAGCCAGGGGCAGACCTGGACCCTTGTAGTGGAACTTGGTGTCAAACCCAGATCTTGGCTTAAAGATTGTATTTAGACCTTGGCCAACGAGTCACAGTATCACCATCTCACCAGGAAGGGTCTAAATACAGTTGTAACTCATGTTCAACATTCTTGTCAGTGAGAATAATGGAGCAAAACTAGACTGACTGAGTTAATTTTGGTTAAACAGTGACTGCCTTTACTGACTACACTTACAGGCTAAACTACCTGGGCCAGTCACAGTCTCTTTGCTATTTCTGTGCCCATTTTTCTCTTTTGCTCTACAACTGATCTGAAACCTAAAAGCAACACAAGAAATGCAAACACACAGGCTACACTGTCAGAAATTCTTCAGCTTCTGCTCACTAGAATCTAACTGGAATAACTGACATCTCTTGACAGCTGCTTAGGAACACTTGTGGCAGGTAAAATAATGCTGATTATCTACAGGTACCTTATCCAGCAACTTTCTTCCTAGTCATCATGATTTGTGAAGTGTGCTGCTGCTAAATGAGCTATTTACAAATGTAAACTATGGCATGAAAGTCTCAAAATAAATAGATCAACCTTTACATTAGGTAGTGACTTGACAACAAGGGAAGAGATCATTCCATTACATCTCTCCAACAAAATGATCTGTGTCTGCTGCCCCCAATTTTTAATGAAGAAAATCCTTGGCTCACGATGTATTCTGCAACAACTCCCTTGGTTTTCTTCCTTTATGCTGGATAATGATGTAAAAACTCCTTCAGTTTTGTTGGATAGTCTGTCATCACTCCAGTTGCTCCGAGGTCAAATGCTCTCTTGTATTCCTGTTCTTCATTCAGTACCCAAATGTACACCTGTCAGGGGGGATAGAAGAACAAGTTACTAGAGGAAATACTAAATTCATTTTTAAAGGTGATTTTTGACCTAAATTGCTTCATTTAAAATAATAAATTATACTGTGATGCCAAAGACCTGCACAGAATCACATCCAATTTTCCCCTTCACTCTCCACCAAAAGAGACATTTTCTAGTGGTGACTCCAACTCCATTTCATTACCTGAGACCACAATAGGTAAGCAGTAATTTGTAAGCTTAAGTAGGAAAAAAACCCTCAAGCTTAAAGGGATTTGAAGTCTTTTCCCAAACATCCAATTCTTCCTTTGCAGCCACAGAACTGCAGATGTAGCAGCAGAAGTCATTGCTCAGGAGGAACTAAAAGCAACTTATGATCTCAGCAACACCACAGAGCATGTTGGAGAGGACAGGAGCCCATCTGAAGGCCACAACTGTCCAGTTCCAACTCTCCCCAGGCTAAAAGCAACTCTCCCTTAGCTTGGCCCCACAGCACCTGAATGCCTCGAGCCGTGAGATGGTCAAACAGTGCCTTCCTCATCAGCAACCTGTGGGAAGAGAGAGACCACTCAACAACTTGAAATATCCATGGAATTTTCAATGTCTGGTGATGTTCTGTAATCAAGTTTTCCCACATACCATTTAGAATCAATGTTTTCCACAAGAAAGTGAGGAGAAACTTGTCATAGAGAACTTGGAGTTTAAGACTGGTTAACACAGATACAGTAACTGATGGGAATTTCTGGGTATCAACTCTGCTGCAGATCAAACCCATCAGACAAATCCTTCATCCTACAGGTGCCCTGTACCACGTCTGATGGACCAATGGAAATTAAACTCCAAAATTCCAACTAACAGATGCCAGAGGCAGAAACAGGAGCCAGGAAACTCTCACTGCCATCACGTTCCATCTCTGGGAGCTTATGACTAAGCTTCCTCTGAAGCACAGAGACTCTTGAAATGCAAAGTGATCCTTGTAAGGCAAAGAGCACCTTCTCTGACAACATTATGAAACAGTCCCATCCATGAAATCTGCATTCTGCATCTAATGACATGCTAATTAGCTGAACAAACTTAACGACAGGGACTAAACAGACTCCACTGGAATAATGCCCACACTGCTCCTGCACCTCAGCATGGAAAGTAAGAGCTTACAGGAACACCTACATAAGATTTGAATGTGATTTATGCTGCACTGACAAAAAAAGCTAGTAAAAACCTGAAAAAAAAAGAACATAATGCTTAGCTACAGCAATAATTGGTCTCAGTAGCTTGAGCCAACTGTTAATATAAAGGCAAAATCTAAATAAAAGTTTAATGAGATTAAAATCTTACGTGTCAGCTAGCCAGATAACAAATTTCTGGCTTCTTGACATCTTCTGAGGTTCTTTCAGCCTGTGGAGGAAAAGGAAACAAAAAATTAGCAGGGCATAGATTAAAATATTATTGGAGACGTTCCTGCGAAAGGAACATGAAGAATTCATCTTGCAGTTGCTCAAATTAGAGCAGTAATTTCACTGACTAAGACAGGGACTTGGAATTGGGTTATACAAGAGAAATGAGCTACACTTCAGGGAAGCAGCAGAGATGGGTGTGCAGCAGCATTTTGGGTAAAGGAGGAGAAAGAAAGAGAATGTGAAGTCTCATATCCACTCTGTGAATAGTTTGGCCTCAGAAGAATTTCTTCTCAAGGAAGAGGGAGAAAAGTGCAAGAATTAGTTATATCCAGAACTGCATACTGTGTATGGCAGCTGCCTGTGAGGAGGAGGATAACTGCAGGAGGTGCTGTAAGCAGGACACACTGGGACACACAGAGGAGCAGCAAATTGGCACAGAATTCTCTAAATCATGTACAAAAGTGCCTAAACTATGAGCAGAATATCCTCAGCCCAAGGATACCGACAAAACCAATGCACAAGGCACATCAGAGCTCATTTGCTTTACTTCTCATGTAGGTGCAGCACCCACCAACCAACTCTCACTCACTTGAGGATGATTGAAGGCATGGGAATCTCAAAGAACTCCTCCTTGAAGGGAATGAATGGCAGCAAACCAGTGTAGAACAGCCCAAGCAGCAGCAGCACACGTTGTGCACAGAAGATGATGGGAATGTCAGAGTTCTGCAGGAACCAGGAAAGAAAGATGCTCAGTTATCTTGGCAGATTGTCAAACCTGTAGCAACTAAACCAATGCACATCTGAAGTTTAGCACTTGCCCCTAAAAATTAAGCTGCCAACTCTCTATGATGTTCCTGCCACTGGGCTTGAATTGCTCTTGTGGTAATTTGCAATTAATTAAGTTTGAAGGGGCAATGGGGACTTGACCAGGTGAAGTTTCTCTGCTCCCAGTCCAGTTTTTGTTCCCTGCCTCCAGCATCCTTCCACACTGCAGAACAGCAAGCAGCATTTCCCCCTAGACTACTACTGCCACCAAGAACAAGATGTGCTTCAGCACAGGACTTGTTGCAGGTTGACATCACTTCAATTTGCTTCACAACACACTTGAAACATGTTGGTTTATGATCTAAAACGTTTGGACATTGATGTTACCAACAATGAACTGCTGTTCAGGTAGGAAATTGGGTGTTGTCCTGCACAGATAAAGTAGAACAACATCTGTATCCTCAGCTAAATCAGTTCCTCTCAGGTGCATAACTTCTAATTTCACTGGGAATTGTGTAATCCCTCAGCACAAAAAGGAATAGAATCTACAGCTGCAAAACAGCTTCATACTGATATAACAGTGTGTCAACTAGTGGCCACATCCATTTCTTTCCTAAGAAGAAACACACAACAAGCAATCCTTAGAAAAACTGCTTTTTATCAGATGAATGATGTGCAGAACAGGCTCTAGGAGTTCCTGGCACAAGATTGCAGTGCCCTACATTCCATAAAACAAGAATAAAACATGATTACACTTAGTTCCTCAAGGATTTTATTGCAGAAGTGTTACCTGTGCTTGACTTATTTTAGCAGTATAGGAAGCAGAACACAATCTAAGCCATAAAACGTCTCACCACATGTAGAAGTGTGGCCTAGCTGGCTAGATCTTGATTTATAGGGTGCTTTTCTGAGCCTTTTGTCACCACAGAGTAACAAACAAGGCTTAGCTGGACTCACTCTTACCTCCTTGAAGCACTTGGACACGATCTCATAGTTGACATTCCCCCACACAGTGAGATGCTCTCGCTTGTACTCACTCACCAGCTCTGAGACCTGCAGCAACAACAGCAGAATTCACATGTAATCAGTGAGAATTACGTGCAGCATTATTTAATTGCAGCTCTCCTTGCTATTTCTCAGCCATGTGGATCATTACAGGTTAGAGGTCTAGACTCTCTCCCATCTCAAGGTGGTTGTGATGCTTCAAGGGGAAATAAAACAGGTGTTCAGGACAAAGAAACACCACTACACTCACAAAAAAACCCTGGAGAATGTAACTAGCTGCCCAAATAGCATCTGATGGAAAGCAGATTTCCTTCTCTGTGCTGAACACATCTACACAATTAACACCATGTTTTCATGCTGCTTTGGTGAGCAACAGTCCACAAGAAGATCCTTCCAATGAAGTACAAACCAAACTCGTCTCCAGCAGTGCAGCAGCAGTTTGACATCAAACTGAAGGGTCAGTAAAGAGCTGTTTGCTGAACATCTTACACAAGATCATCTCTGTCTTCTCTACTACCTCCGAGATCTAACACATGAAGGATGAAGCAGTCCAAGAACACAGATCTTGGTCTCAGACACTGCCATCAGCTCCAGCAAACTCTTCTCCTGGAGTGTCAGCATCACTACATCACCTTCACTCTCAGCTCACCACAGATGTTCAAGTACCTTTCTGATCAGCACATTGTTGTTCATTTTGATGTCGATGTTGACAGGAGTCTGTGGAAATGCCTCAAACACCTCTCTCAGGAGTGGAATCCGATTATCCTTCCCCTCACAGTGACATTCTGGGGAGACAGGAAAGTTGTCACTGCTGTGGCCACTTTTAATATACCCCAGCTAAAAGATGAGATGTCAGATCACTTGTCTGCTTCAAGTATAAACTTCCTAGAATCATCATGTTCTTAAACCAACAAACAGAATTACATCACTCAGCTGTAATTAATTATGACAAGTTCATTTCCATAATGAAAATGCTCTGAGCACACTGCACATTTAGGTTTGAACTTCATGAATTTCAGTCATTATTTAGCAGCAGTAGGAGTGCAATGCTAAAATCCTGAAATAGCAAACAGAGGCTCAGTTACCACACACCAAATGCAACGAGAGTCATAGGGAAAAGACCAAATGAGAACAGAATTTCCATCTGAACTCCAAGTCATACCTACAGGAACTACTGTGCTGGTTTCTACAAGTAGGATTATATTTTCCTTTTAAAACTTCTCTTATCAAGATACTGATAGGAGAAAAAAATCCACTTTCATACTCTCTTTGGCAAAACAGGAAACTGCCACACCACAGAATGGAAAATGAGTGTTACTGTGAACTGAAACAGCAAGAGACCAAAACTTACCTTTCTGAAATGTGACATCCAACTTGCAGAGATAGGGGGGAAGTTCCTCAAAAATAAAGGGAAATGAAACATTAATTCAAATACACAGATGACTTCTCCAAAAAGACCAAAAAACTGTCATTCATAAGCCACTGAAGTTATCTTTAAAGACAATAGTTTCTTGGAATCTTCTCACCCCACAAAGTGATTTAGAAGCACTTTAGTGTTCATTCTTGACCTGTTTGGCATTCTTAGGTTCATGTTACCTGTAGCTGATAAAGCAGAAAGTTTCCAGATGCCTGTCTGGAAATTCAGAGGACTCCACTTAAGTGGACCTCGGGTTGGGTTTTTCCCAGCTCTCTACAAATCCATTTTTCCACACCCCTTAGCACCAGTATTTTTTGTTCCACTCACCGAGTATTTGAGGTCAGATATATTGACATCAACTCCTGTTGATCTCTTCAGGTTCTCATCATGGGACACCACCACCTGCTCATCCTTTGTCAGGTGACAATCCAACTCCAGCATGTCTGTTCCTAAATTAACAGCACTGCAAGCAAAAATCTGTCTTGGTACAGGCTCAAATCCAACACATGCATGTTACTCCATAAACCAATCCCTCTGGAAGCACTTCAGATGCTTTATGAACTCTCTCAACAGCAAAGAACTCTGCTGCAGTGGAAAGCTGATGCAAGAACAAACAACATCCCATGAATCAAAGATGGGATTGAAGCTTTGGCTCAGTCTTCCATAGAAATCAGGTGGCACAGCTGTGGATTGCAGCCTACCAGCTCAGGATTGAGAAACCTGCTCCTCAAGGATTGTTTCAGAGCTTGGACTGTGATGTTTGTTTGTAACAGCACAATTACCACTGGAGGAAATGAGCTGTTCTAACAAAGCCATCAAGTTTGTGGCAAGCAGAAGCAAAACATGACAGAGATGTGAAAGCTTTTCCTTCTTTTTACTTGACTGACATTAATCAGGAATGGATGGATCAGGATATTAGCAGTGAGGCTTTCAGGCTTTTTTTTAGGGGGGGGTATCAAAAACAACCTTAAAGATTATTATTTTAATGAAAAAGTTTTAAGTTAAATTAAAAAATAAACCACTCTAACAACCAGTACTATTTTTCAAAGGAAAATAGCCACTCCTGTTCCAACCCACTGCTTTGAAAAGTTCAAATCCAATCCCAAATCCACTCCACAGAAGCTTAGCTCATAGGAGGAAGAAAGAAAGCAGAAAGCAGTAATATTGATGAAAAATAAGTACAAGAAACCTCACACCAGAACAAAAAACCCTAAGCTTTGCTGCAATGAGAAGTGAGTTGCTTATTTAACTAGAAAAGATACTGAGCAGGTGTCATTCCTCAGCTAAAAGCCTGAACACTTCCTTCAAAACCTTCTTTTTATCCAGCCATGAGCAAAGCTACAGCTCCTCTGGGTTGTGCCTACATGGGCCCCAGAGCTCTGCAGCTCCAGGAACAGCCTTTTCCTTCAGGGCTTTCCTGGCTGGACACAGAACACTCCCAAATGCAATAACAAACCAAAAAAAAACAAACCCAAGAACATACTCCCAGAAGTGTTTAACACAATTTCTGGCCCAGCTGGGATGATGATCAAGAGGAAGGTTGTCAAATTAAAACCAATTTGTTAACTGTTTGCCAGTGCTGCTAATTAAGAATTAGAAGAGGAACAAAATCCTATTACAGAACCACAGGCTGTTCTGGGTGATTTTGCCTCCTGAGGAAAAGCATCTCCAAATCTGCTGCAGGAGCTTTGCCAAATGTATAGATGTTCCCATCTAGTACCATCACCTCTCCAGCAAAATCTGTTAAAAATATTGCTGCTTAAGGAAGTCAGGGCTGGTGCTGCATGGGGAGAGGAGAACAACAACTTTCCTTGTTAACCAATTTGAGCATTTGCCAAGCCCTCACTCCCAGCTCACTGCTAAATAAGCTTCCCTAAGTGCTGAGCTTTTCCAGCTGGAAACCAGTTTGTTCTGCAGCTCTGTAATGACACATCAAATCTTCACTGCTCCAGATTCAGGTGGTGGTGTTGGATTCAGATCCAGCTGCTCAAGAACTCCAGTTGTGCAGCAAGTTCACATTTACAAATTGGGATGAGAGTGCTCTTAAAATCAGTTATTATCAACTCTAAAACCACCACAGGCACATTTAAATACAGCAGAACATGATTACAGCCCCAAAAAAATCTACTGGGCATTTTACCATGCAAAGCCATAAAAATACTGTGTTGGTACAAAGAATATTTGTAAATTAAGCTCTGATAGACCTGGAAATTGGCAATGAAGCCTCTTCCCACCTGAGTTTATGCACTACACTAACAGTTGTGTATTATAGTAATCATCATGCAACGGTGTTAGAGATTCTCCAACCACTGGGAAAGAGCAAACAGCATATTTGCTTGTCAACACTTAGGTTCCTGTCAACAAGGCACAACCAAGGGCTGCAGACACATGTTCTCTTCTGGATCCAACTACAGCCAAAGCCAAATATTCCTGCTTGTCCCAACCTGCAGGAACAGCTCCTGCAGGAACAGGCACACCCACAGACTCTGATGGATTACGAATTGATCACTCCATGCCACCTGAGCCGAGCCAGATCACCAATTTTCCACCCAATTCCCTTTGCTGTCTTACCTGTGGAGATGGGAATGAGGCAGGTGGGAAGGACAAAGCCTTGAGCCCTTCACAGAGGGAGCCAAAAGATTTGGTATTGCCTAGTGCAAGGGAATTGCTCTGACTGCCTTCCTGGCCCTGTCACCCGACTGAACTGTGCTGTGGCAGCTGTGAGGAGCTCAAAGCTGCTCCTCAAGATGTTTGTCACACTACAGCTATAAGATAACTAAGCCGGGCAGAAGAGTCAGATAGAAGACTGTATTATCCCAAGGATCTGAGTCTTAGCACAGCCACAGAATCATAGAGTACCCTGAGCTGGAAGGACCTACAAGGATCATTGAGTCCAACTCCTGTCCCTGCCCAGGACACCCCAACAATCCATCCTGGGCCTGAGAGTGTTGTCCCAACACTCCTTGAGCTCTGTCAGTCTTAGCCCTTACTCTAAGTACTACAGCTTCTTTCTGGGAATGAAAATACATATCTATATCATTTTATGTATTCTTTATATTTATATAATATCCTATAAAAACAATATTAT